TTTTATTTAAACTAGTTCAATACCACGTGCAAATGCACGGAGTATTTTCAATCTAACCTCATATTATAACTAAAATCATTAAAAAAGATCTTTAAATTATATTTTTGGAAAGTGAATAGACAAAAAGTTATATACTCAAACTGTTTAGATTTCATAGTTGATAATTAATTTATTAATTTACTATTTATAATTAATTAAATACTTTTTCATGCTCTTACACGAAATTTTTTTCAACAAAATCAACATGAGCTCGTAATAGATCAATACATTATTATTATTTTCTAAAAAAACATTATTAATACATGAAACACATTATAAAAGAACAATAAAAAACAATAAATAGTAACAAAAAAAATCAAACTTTAGCTATACACTAATCTTAATATGAATTGTAATTAAATAAAAAATTTTAATTTTATGGTGTTGTTTTCTAACCGTTTGCATTCTAACCTTGGTTAGATCATATACATTTATTATTTTTGATAATTAATAATTAATAATTAATATAATATTTATAATAAATTATTGATGGTATAATTTGTAAATTAATAAATTAAAGAAGGGAGAAAAACGTCCAAAAATGTTTTTGTGATATCCTCCCATTTTAATATAGTATAGATTACATTTATTTTGTTATTACTTTTACATCAACGTTATTTTAAAATTTGTTTTTAAAATTAAATTATTCTTAAAATTAACCCTCATCTTTGTTCCTATAGTTCTAAAATTTTTATTTTGGTCCCCGTACTATTAAAAAGTGACTATCTTTTATCCCTATTACAAAATTTTAACACAAATTTTGCACATAATGGAAATATTTTAATATAAAACAGGGTTCAAAATGTCGAGAGACATGTCGACGTGTCGAGCATGTCGACATCGACATAGGGGAGAAAAGTCGATTTTTCCCTCATATCATCGACATGTCGAAATGTCGACATGTCTTTTTTTCCTCTTCTTCTTTCAGGTTATTTTATTTTCATCATCTTCTTACTATGTCACTAGAGTCTGTTCAATGAAACATTCGAATTTTAATACTGTATAAAGTATAACTAATAAGATTTAGAATTTGCTTTATTGATAATTTCTAATCCAATCTAGTCTTTGCTTACACAATTGAACAATATATGTGAAATATTGAAATATATAAAGATTGAAATAATCTTAGAATTTTTAAAAAATAAAGTATTATTATATACAAATAGTGGTGAAACATGAAGTAGAATAGGTAACTTAATTAATACCAAAAAGATGATCTCGGAGGATCTACTGCACTATCTTGATAACTTTGATATAAATTACAATAGTTCTCCCCGGTCATCGTAGACTGAAAGTTTTGAAGGTAGTTGCTCAAATGAGTAGAATTTGAAGCAAATATGGATCCCATTGGTATATAATTTGGAAAAATGACACAACCACGAGATTGAGGTGTTTGAAAATTGTGTAAATTTGATTGGAAAGTTGGATTGATGATTGATCTGAAAATGTATTTGAAAAATGGGTAAATTCAAATTTGAAAAGAGAAGTAGGTAAAAAGTAAACATGTACGAGTTAATTAGAATTTAGAAATGTGTTTGGAAACCAAGTCGGTAATTATCTCATTTCCAAATGAATCCTATTATGAAAAACACTAAAGAAGTAGTAAAAAATTTACAATTAAAGTTTGCTTTACATATTCAAATAATTTCCATCAATCTTCATTAAAGAAAAAAATTCGATATTTCCACCAACATCGACATTTTCATAAGTAAAATTGTCATATTCTTACATTTAATGGTTAAAGGTGATCAAGTATAGGCTAATTAAGCTACAATTCAAGTTTTATTTGCTAATTCAAAAAATTTCCATTAATTTTCACAATTTCCATTATTTTTGCCGAAATATCCATCATCAACATGTCTATCGACATGTTCGTAAAATTGGGACCTTGACATTTTCAACGACATCGACATTTTGAACACTAATATAAAGTAGTGATTATATTTCAAGAAAAATATTGATTGTAATTTCATGTTGAAATTGTAATAGAAAAAACAAGATGAAAAATAGAATTAAGAGACTGAAATAGTTATTTTTAAAAAGTACATAGAGAATAAAAAAATATTTTGGAAGTACAACATCTAAAATAAATCAAAGTTAAAAAGGGATCAACACGAAGATTTTGAAGTACAAAAATTAAAATCAACAAAACTCAAACTAACTAAAATGGTGTTTTATCCTAAACTTTAAAAAACTCTTCCATTTTTATTTATTCAATTAATTGGCGGTAGATTAAGCTACCAACTCTCCGGCTCCGACCACTTTTTAAGTTAATAATTAATTAATCACATAACGGTCACCAAACTTTTCTTTATTAGTTATTAAATAATATTGAAGTTGTCGGTCGCATTTTACTATTGTTATACACGTCATTACGATTCTAAACTCCAAAATAAATTCAGATTAATTAATAACTAATTTTAAATAAAGTCTCACAAAATTATTTTATTTATTAACCAAAATGACATTGAGATTCCAACAACTTTATATTTTAATTTAATTCTTCAAAGGGATTTGTAACTAAAAAAATGTTTTTCTTTAGAGAAATGAAGCTAAAAAATGTTAAACAATTTGGTTGCGTGAATTTATTTGGTAACAATTTAATCCATATACTTTAATTTAATGCTCCAAAGGGATTTGAAGCTAAAAAAAAATGTGTTCTTTTGAGAAACAAAGCTAAAAAAATGTTAAACGATTTGGTTCGTGAATTAATTATTTTATAACAATTTAGTCCATATACTTTCAAATTAGTAAAAGTTAGTCTCTGAATTTTTATACGTAATAATTTAGTCTCTATAGTTTGAAGTTTGTAACAATTTAGTCTCTATTATAAAAGAAAAAATATATAATAATGTTAATTGTCATATTTGTATTTTCATATAGCTATAACTATAAAATTCTCTAAAAATTATTTTAATGGGAAAGCAAGTACAATTTGAAAAGGATTTAAATTATTATAGGCTAAATCCAATATTAATTAGTTTTTGTTTGACAAGGAATATTTTTTAGATAGAGTCTTGTTTGGTGTTAATTTCATTGTCATACAATTTTCTTTTTTAAAAAAGCAAAAAGAATCTCAGTCAGCCAATTTTTCTAAAACCATATTTAAAACACAATTGTTTATAGGACATTTATAGGCATGATTTTTACAAAAACAAAATTGTTGTCAAATTCTCCTCAAGATAAGATTAGATTGATTAACAAAAACCAATAATAAATTGACATGCATAAAAATTCATCATCATCCTACCATACCAATTTAAACTTACATCAACTAGTTAAAAATATATCAATGATTTTACAAATAGGTAAAGTTCGAATCTCCACCCATGAAGTGTTATATTCTACAAAATATACTCATTAAAAAAAGCATATTTTTAAAATCAAAATAAAAATTTATTTATGAATGAATAAAATTCATTTAACACACCCAAACTAGAGTAGTTCCCTAAACTAATTCATTAAAATAATACAATAGAGCCAACAAATCAAATGCGATTAAATAATGTGTAACAAAAAAAACCTCTAACACAACTAAAAGAATCTAAAAAAGATGCACCTATTTCTATATTCTAAGCATCAGAAAACTGTAAATTCAACTAATAAAAGACAGTAATCTTGCCAATTATTAAACTTCAAAACAGATTAATTTTTCTTTAAATTTATTAAAAAAAATCTATCTTCATAATTTTTAGAGATCATGGGCCAGTCACAGACACGTGGGCAAGAATTTATTTAATTTTAATTTTTTATTTTTGGAAAAGGGCAAGGATATTCGTAACCGCATATTCTTATGAGACAGAAGGCGCCTGTCCAAAACCAAGACCGTGGGTCCCACCATCGTACCAAAATCACACAATTTTGGACTCTAACGGCACCCGACTCACTTCAGAAATCGCCGTAACAGCCTGTCAAGTTCTTCCACGTGTCACCATCCGATTGCTGGAACCGCCAACCACCTTGCCACCACAAGAATCTCAGACCGAGCTTTCTGGTAGACGGTGACCACTGACCAATGAGTGGATTAAATTATATTAGCAAAATTACCTTTTTTGTCGTTTACTGTTCCATTATTATTGTTTATTATTAGCTAAGCTATTAAGATTATTATAAGGAAAATATTTAACATTCAATTAACTATTATTGAAAATTTGACAATTCGTTACCTTTCTTTGAAAATTATCTATTTTTACATTTATTTCTTTTAATTGTCAAACATCCATAACTATCGGTATAAGACAAATCCTAATCTGTTAGGATCCAATTATTTTGTTCATTATAAATGATACCTTATCTGTTAGAGTTTATCGTTTAAATATCAAATTGGTCACTATGGTTTAATTTTTAATTTATTTCAAATTTCATAATTGTCTTATTTGTTATAAGTGGCTGTCATATTGTAACAATTTGTTGCATAACTTTGAATTGTATAGTTTGTTGAGATGTATCTGTTAACTGGTTATATATTTTTAGAGCTGAGTAAAAAGTATAAAGAATTAATTTTTTATAATATTAAAAAATAGTTTACGGAAGATTCGTTAGATTAAACTATACAGAACTAAATTAAATTTGAAAACAAAATTAAAAATAGAGCACAATTATCAAATTAAAACTCAAGTAATTAAATTTAATAAATCTCTATTTATTATTTTATATATTTTCTAACAAACAAAGGAAAGCTAGACCTCAAACTACAAAAACAAATTTAGTAACGTTTCCTTATTATTATTAGTGCTCGTGAAACACGCGCGAGTACTTGGAGAACGAATTTCCTACTCTCGGATGCTGACTCAGTAGTCCCAATCTTTTTGTGAGTTCCGGCTTTCGAAATTGCCACCTATTTATGACGTGGATAAAAAATATATTCCAACTACCCAATAATTATCTGCCACGTCTTCATTCAAAATCTTATATTTTATCTTTATAAACTCCGGCTATCCCCACTCTCCCATTTCCCCGCATCTATTTCCCCTCTTCAGATCTGTTTGGCAGCCGAGAAATACCACTCTGTTTTTCCTCTTTCTTTTCCTTCGAGTTTCTTGCTCGAGAAAAATCAAGTGGGTTTTTGTGACTACAAGAAGCAAAAATGGAAGTCCCTGTGCTGAACAGGATTACGGAATTGGGAGCAGATCTGAGCTCGCTCCCGAATGCAAATTTTCTCTCTCGGATTCTCACTTCGTTTTCTCCATCCCAACATTTCTGGAAATGGGGCGCCGTGGTTATTGCTCTGTTGGCCACATTTAGCGGCTTAATCAATCGGGTCAAGATTTTAATCATCGTCATTCGCCGGAGAAGAACTACTCCGATTTACGAACCTCTCTCCCGATCTCTCCACGGCGGAGAGAATGGCGGTTTCGTCTCAGAGAATCTCGGATCTCCGCCGTTTTTCAGCTCGGAATCGGAAGATGAGAACGAGCTGTCGTCGCCGGAAGACGGGTCGGATTTTGGGGTGAAGGGGTCGGGTCGGAGCTCCGATGATTATTCATGTGGGCGGCGTTGTTCTGGTCTCCGACGACGGCACTACGGCGGAGATTCGCTGTCGTGGTCGTGTTTTGGGTCGGAGAGAAGCGTAGTGAGGCAATGGGGTGAGGTTCAATTGAAATGCAAATTTGACGAGTTGAGTGGGAGCGTGATTTCACTGTACGATGAGAATGAAGAGAAGGAAATCTGCTCCATTTTCAGCGGCGGAGCTCCGGTGCGAGCCGCGGCCATGTCGCCGGCGGGAATGGTGGTTTCCGCCGGACAGAGCGTTTTCGGGAACGTATCGGTAAAGCTTTGGGACACGCGTAGCCGGAGCCAGACGCCGATAGTTGCGGCAGAGTGGAATTCGCCAGCGGCAAAGATTGTGGACGTCTATTACGAAGAATCGGAGAAGGTCTATCTTAGAAACGACAGTGATGCCAAATTAACTGTAGCAGATGTTAGAAAAGTCTGTTCAGCGTTAGAAAATTCAAACTTAGGCGGCGTTGACCGCTGGTGGCATGCTAAGGCATAGGCCAAGGCCAAGCCTACTGTACAGTCGCCGGAGTAATTGGTTATCTCGATCGTGTAAAACTCAAATGCGAGTCAGATAAATTTTTCGAATACTACGAGAATATGATGCTCTCAAATTATGATTTTGATTTTATAAATAATTTTTTATTGTTAATAGATTTCACCTTATTTTTACACATGTTTATGCAATTCATGATGAATAGAAAGAGTGTTCATATTTCTTTGGTACTGTAAGTTTTCTCTGCAAGAATAGTGACTTGGTTAGTGGTATGATGGTAGATACTACTTTTTATCTTTTCTGAAAAAATTATAAAAAAATAACTCTTTTACCTATAAAAATTTAATTGGTTTGATGATCCGTCAATATTTTGTACATTTCTTTGACTTTGAGCATTAAAATTTGGGATAGTACTTCCCACCACTAGATAGTATGAATATGCCAGTATTCATACCATCTTATATGATTATCCTATTTTTGATAAATAGGAGGAGGAGAGATGAGAGAATTTTTTGTTTTTAAATGTTATGAAAAATTTAGTGGTTGGTGGAAGAAAATTTTATTTCTTGTTTAGTTGGTAGGGGATATGTTATTCTAAAATTTTGATTTTAGTTTTATTACGATATTAGTTATTTCGTGACATTGGATTGTTGTGGTTGTGAATATAATATTCTTCTTTCCTAACACAATATAATATTCAAGGCAACTATCTATAGTTGAGCTAACTCCGGTGAAGAGCCAAAACTATCACCAAACAATTATGCCCACTGTCTGTCTCATTAAATGGGGGTGTAACTTATCTCTATTCTTAAGCTTGTTTCGATGTACTAGAGTTACGTCTATAATTTTCTTTCTCAAAGTTGAGTAAAAAGTGTGGGAATTCGAATTTCTAATATTTATTATACCTTAATTAGTTGAGATATGTTAGGTGGGTAGAATTGTTACTTTTGTAATTGCTTGCTAAAATGTTTGAAAAATGTTGCTATTTACCAAAGTCACTAAATTAAAATAGCTTGAAACTATCAATCATTTTAAAAAGCGGTCATTTATAAGGGTTAAATTTATCTAACCTATATCCAACATGACCACGTGGAGACAATGTTCTAAAGACATCATGTGCCCATTGTGGGAGCGTTTTAGCTATATGATTATTACTCAAACAAGAAATTTCTTTTTAAGGCATGTCTTTACTCAATTCACATCCGATGTTAAATAATGCACCACTTTATCTTGTATTAATTACAACGACCTTCTCCTACATGGGAAAGATCAACGGACTTAACAAGATTTGTAGATATATGGATTAATTCTCTTATTGTCAATTAATTGATTTTGATATGAAACCTTATAAATATTAAGATGGTATTAGAGTCCAACAAGCTCAAATAGCATCTGGTACAAAAAGCAGATTTGATCAAGATTGATTAACCAAAAGAGCTTGAGGAACCAAATGTCCCATATTGAGAAGATGCTTAAATTATGTAGAATTCAATGAATATGTTTTCAAGAAAAGAAAGTGGCAACGTTGGATCTGATAGGAGGCTTTATGAGGAGGCCCTATGTCATGGTCATGCTCGTTTAGGGTCTGTTGTTCATAGTTTTATGCTCATAAATCTCTCATCCTTTGTTCTTTCAATCTATGTTTTTAATTTTGCATGTTGTTTTTGTCCATTGTACTTTTGGTGACGAGTTGACCTTTCACCCCTATGAATACAAAATCCTATCGGACCAAAAATACCTAAGCTATGACGAGTTTCTTTAAAAGCTTCTTTTTTGTTTTAGATTATGAGTGTGGCAAAGTTAATTGTGGGGGGCGGCAAAAAATTGGTAGAGAGTAGCTAGAGAGCGAGTTTTTGGGCTGTGGAGCATTGTTGGCAACCCATTCTCGGGAGTCTCGTGAGTTTTTCATATTTGTATTCCTAAAATACATATTGCTGTGGTGCTTAAAAGCTAGATGGTTATTGTTGTGGCATTTAGAGATTATAGAATGAACTATTCATTCCACAATGGAATTATTGGACCGACATTGTATTTATATTTAGAATACTAAATAAATTGAGAAAGTAAAATACCTTTGTAGAATCTCTCGACAAGACCTTCTTCCTTGATATGACTCGAACAATGGACCAAAGTTGGTGGTAACTCTTAACCACTATTCAAGATTACATTTATAACCTTGGATTTTCATAAAATTGGATAATATTTGCATATAACAAAATAAAATAAAATAATTATTTTATTCATAAATAATTGAAATTTACAAACTACGAGGCTTTAGGGCATAAATCAAGAGAGTGATTGTAGTGGAACATGTATGTTGCATAAGACTTAATGTAGCCCAAGCTTAAGGTGAACCAATATAACCTCTGGTGTTCGTTTCTATTTACTTGTATTTCCTTTACTGCGCATTAATTAAATTGTGACTTGCTCATAACTGTGGAAGGAGAAAAACCTAGTTAGATCCAGTCGGATAGCTCGTGTTTGAGGATCAAAGGTGTTTTATTATACTGCACTTTTTCCCCAACATCTAGACTACAGAAGATAGTGTTGGACTTTTGTTGTAAACGTGTGAAAAATTGTGGTTAGATAGAATTTGAAGATATTGAAAAGTATTTACGGACTTGATATCTGGAAATTAAATTTGTTACTATTAAAAAATGCAATAGTATTTTAACTATTCATGTTCATTCAATGTGAATGTTTCTTTAAATTTTGTCTTTGAACTGATATATTAGTTACATATAAGACCCAGAAATGGAAATTGACATTTTTTACAATAGTATTTTCGCCAACCAACCAAAGTTGGTCATGATTCAGACCCTGGTTTTTCACACGTAGCAGATATCTGTCACTTACCCCACCCAATTCTTACCAGCAATTGGATTATTGACTCGGGGGCATCTGCTCATATCAGTTTTTTCGAGAAAGTTTTATTTTCTGAAAAGTTGTTTCTGGATTCTCTGTGACATTATCGGTCTAGTCTCATCTTACCATGGAGTCCATCTTGCCATGGAGTTTATTGGGGATATTCAATTAAGTTCCAATTTGGTTATTCATGATGTGTTGGTTATACCCAACTTTTGTTTCAATCTACTGTTCATCGGTTCTCTAACCAAGGAGTCTTTGTTCATGGTTAACTTTGTTGTTGATTCTTGTCTTATTCTGGACAAGTCTGCTTTAAAGACAATTAGCAATGGTGGTCTCTAGCATGGTCGATATGTTCTTGACATTACTTGCTCATCTCCTGCTGCTTTCAATCCTGTATGCAAGTATTTGTATGTCGTCTACTACTAATTAGGATGCTAGACTAGGTCATCCTAGTGAGAAACACTTATCTGCTTTGAAGGCTCCTTTGCCACTTTTTCGTAGAGTTGACGTGGTTAATAATCTTTTGTTTAGTTTGTCCGATAGCTAAACAAAAGAAGTTGTCTTTTGTCTCTCATAGTTCTGTTGCAAGTCATCCCTTTGATCTTGTTCATTGCGATATTTGGGGGCCTTATCAATCTATTATTGTTGGGTGTGTTGCCTAAATTCGTAGTTTGTATTTATGTAAAAACAAATATATATTCAATAAAGTTTTATTCAATCAATTTGTTGTTGAATTCATAGCATTGCATTGTCCAAAATCCAATAAACTAAACATCCAAAGTTATTATCATGTAATCGGGACAGTATATATACTAGGTATATATTTGATATACCCCTGATATACAAGTGGATAATGTCCCGGGAATAACCTAAAAAGTCTATAGTATATGGATAAGGCTGGGTACCTTATCCTGGCAACACTATGGACATGTCGCACTTTGTAAATGTTACAGACTACTCGATCTAGGTCGTTCAAGTGGAGATATGCGAGTGGAGGTATCCTATACAATGAGTTTGTATAAGACCGGACCACGAAATAGTCAATCGATTGCTATTTCTTAGGATGACCAGGTAACTCATTCTCAATCTTGAGTGAGTTATGGACTCCTGCCCGTGAGGATCTCGTCCTTTGATCTGTATGGATGAAAGTGGCTCGAGTCGCCGACTCAATGTTTCTACCATTTTGGGGACGAGACTGAGTGGGGAGCTGGGAACATAACTTCACAAGATGGAATTCACTCCTCCCCGACTTTACGGAGTAGATGAGTGTTCTCTTAAATGTTAACTCCGGGACTTGAACGAGGGGCCTCACCCTCTCACTAGCCCGAGAGAGACTTCTGATTATTGGTCGGACCATAACCGAGTTGTTCATTAGAGGGGCAGTGGTATTTAAGGAGTAAGATGTAACTCAGAGGTAAAATGGTAATTTGACCCAGCTTTAGTTACGAGCACTCGTGAAGGATTGACTTGTCATTAATGATCGTATATCCATAGACACGAAAATATTCTGCAGTGAGAAGAGTGAAACTGCGGGTCTTTAGTGGAGTGACTTGTAGTTAACGAATGTTGATTAACTCGGTCAATGAGTTTGACCGATTAATCTCGTATCATTGGAGCTTCTGATCTGTAGGTTCATTAGGTCCCCTTGCTAACTCACAACGGGTAAAACGAGAATCAAGTTTTTGGAAAAATTTAAAATGTTCAAATTGCTCAAGGGATTATATGTATATTGATACATTATAATATATAGTTAATTCTAAATTAAAACTATATATTATGAGAGATATTATTTGAATGAGATTCAAATAAAATTAATATGAATAAGATTCATATTAAAACTGTAGGTTAAAATAATATTCATAAGATGTACATTACGACTATAGGTTATACGAGATAGAAGTACTATAGATTATGATTGTATTTTTATGAATTATTTATTTGATTTATATATATATACATACATATATTAATTGATTAATAATTAATTAATATGATTAATTAATTAATTAATTATATTATTAATTTTAATCTTAATATTAACACTTCCCTACTTAATTGTAGTGGGGGTGGGGTGGTAGTTATAACGCTTTTGAGTTATGCAGAATAGTTCTGCAAAACAACCCAGATGAATGAGTGCTTTCCCCTACATCAAGCAAAAAAAAAAAAATCTCTCTTAATTCTCCCTTGCGTTCCAACTCGATCGTTCCCACAAGCGTGTTCTCGATACTCAGATGATAGCACGGAAGGTGCATT